CCGCAACGGTTACTATTTTCGTACGACCAGGAGAGGCAGAACGTGCCTGGTAGAGGTACAGATAAATAGAAAGAGGAAGAGAGAGAGAGAGAGAGAGAGAGAGAGAGAGAGAGAGAGAAGGATAGTAAGAGAGGGAAATAGGGTGATTGTACCCATGAAAAGTCGAATGTTTTGATATGAACACTTTTTACCAAATTATGCATCTGAAGAAATGAAATATGCGGTATATGTATATTATAATCAATATAAATACATTAATATACACAATACTATGGATTATTAAGATGTAATTTTTTAAAGATATAAAGACAATAAGTTTTTTATTATGTATCTATACAATTTTTAAAAACGGAAATTTTATAATAATTCGTTTTTAACAGAAGTTGTAATATAGTGAAATAACGTAAGAAATCCTTATTAATTAATTATTGCAAAAATGTAAATTTTTTAATTAATATAATAGAATAAGAAAGAGATATGAATTGTTAATTATATTAAAATTTACTTGCTACACGTCATGAAAGCAATAATAAAGAAGTTAATAAAAATTACACATTCATAGATTGCCATCAGAAGATACAGTTAATTGCATTTTACAGCCTGTTTATTCTGAAAGAGATAATTTTAAATGGAAATAATATATTACATTAATGATTGTTACGTGTGTGGGTAGTGACGTATTTCGCAAATAAGAAATCTATTAAGCGTGACAATGTCTTTTATTTCGATTGTTCCTCGTATCAATCATTTTATCCAAATAACGCGGATATTCCGTATATTCGCATATAAATATACGCATTTTGTATCGCATTCACTTGACTCGGCACAAAAGTTTCTCGAAAGTACCGAATGCTTGTCATATTTTGCAGAAAGTCGAACAGTACCGCTTCCAAAGTTAAACGCGTTTTCCCGAACAAATCACGCACATTCGTTGCTATTAATAGAGGCCTGTTCCTGCGACCATCGCGGTGCACGCCGTGCTGCGTCGCGTCTTGCATCTGCACCTGCAGCTACGCATGGTCCGATAAAAAGAAGCCTGTATCCGGCGATGTGCACGTGCCCCTGTAAACGCGCACATGTGCGGCACACGCTATATCCAGAATGTAGCGCGTTGTTCGAGACTATAAAGATGCAGCTTTTAACGCGAGCACAATCGAGGAGCTCTTACTTGAAAAAAAAAAGCGACTCGACTCTCCCTTTGCTTACTTTTTACTTCTAATTCGTCCCGCTGTTATTATTATTTCTTGAATTTTTTTTCTTATAAAGAAAAGACAAATCTACTTGCTAGAGATGCTATAAGATTATTTCTGGTAATTCCTAAGATAATAAAGTGAGGAAAAATATATAAGAACATTGTATGTAGATGGAAGAAGAAAATTATTGTTGGGATCTAAGACAATTTTTAAAATAATTCAAGTTTACATTTTTTTTCTTAATTTCATTTCATTAAAATCTTTGATGTTTCTAAACTATAACTTTTATAAATTATATCAATCGATATAGTTTATTTGTTAAACAAATTGATCTAAAATAGCTTGTTAATCATAACATATATCGTTAAATGGTAAATAATAAAAAAAATAGTAAAAAGATAGAAGAGAGTACATTTTAATATACGGTATATCTATATGTATTATCGATTTATCAAATATATTATATGTATAGATATATATCACTAATGGAATATCCGTTTATATAAAAAGCGTTATTTACAGGTCCTGAAAATATTCAGGACCTGTCATCATTGTAGAAATGTAAAGTGAAAATAGTCGGTATAAAAGTAGAATTTTCGTGAGACAGATTTATTCCTTCGACGTAAGTCAATTTTGCATAGGAGAGTATGAGTATGCAAATATAAGTCTAATCAATTTATTACGCGACTTACAAACTCACCTTCAATGTTTCATCATTAATACAGCCTTTCATTATTCAATTTTGATTCATTCTATAATTAAGATGACTCTTGAGAAACGATATTTAAAAGAGAAAATATTTTATAATGAGCTTCAAGCCATGTTAGTTTGACACTATCGAATAAACGATGTATCTTTCATAAGGCATTGCCAATTCCTTATATTTATTTCTTCTTGTTTTTCTTCTGAATTGCACATAACCCATAATATCTTCTTTGCATAGCAGCTTATCTGTGTTTTGTAATCTGCAATTATTTCACGCATCTTTATTATACTTTTTCAGGACATTAATATTTTCCACACAAAAAATGTCTCGTCATATATTAAAAAAATATTTCTTTACGAAGATTGCAGAGTCAAGTTATCTTATTCATTGATCAGGGTAAGATAGCCTGATTACAAATTATACAAAAATTATTTCATTTGCTGGCAATTGCAGGCTTAAAGTAATTTTTATTGCATGAGAACATATCCTCGTCCGTTTGACACTTAATTAACATAGTCAGTTATGATTCACGAGATCACTGACGATGACCGATCATCAAGATCTCGATGCTAGTCTATTCGATCAATTGCGGCAATTAATATAGAAACATTATGATAGTAGCTTTCTCTTCTTCTTCACGTTTCGGGCACTGTTATCACCTCTGTCGTAGCCATATCGCGAAGAGGAGGTCGCTGGAAAAGATCTCGTGGTCTTTTTCGGGACTTTTCAGTTATCACTTAGGGATTCGAAGGTTTCGAACTCTGTCAGGGTCATGCTCGGTCAGGAATCATGCACGGGTACTGCACAACACTTCATGAAGCACTGACAAGCCAGACCAGGAGGGAGCTCCATCGTCGGTGCTACCATATGATTGCTCGCTCCCTCGCTCGCTCACTCGCTCGCTTAACGTTCTCCTTCTCTTCTTCACTGCCACCACCCACGCATCTGGCAGTAGTGCGAAGGAACGCCCATACTTCGTACGAAATGTTATTTCGGGATAGACAAGGACGGCAAAACTGAGACGCCGAAGGACGGTTCGTAAACGGTAAAGAAAAACGAATTCACGTGCGTCTTGACCCTCCTCGCATGAACTTTTCCCTGGTATTTGAAAGAAAAATCTACCACGGTTGTACAATTTGTACACACGCTGTATATTCATTTGTCAATAACGTTTTGCCGATCTATCGAGGTATGAATTACAGAGATTTGAAATGTAGAACTATCACGCAACAGAAAATTAATTTATAAAAGATAGATAATTTATAAAAGATTTATAAAAATAAAATTTTTAAAAATTAATTTCTTATTTTCTTGGAATATATTTCTTGGAAAAAAGAAAAATAATAGCTGAGATAATCTTTCTGGAAAACAGATTGGAGAGTGTTTCTTCTATAATTGATATAAGAAAGGTTTTTATTTCTTCTTCCGATAAGAGTTCAATAACATTTTTTCTTAAAAGATATCATCGTTCAATGGTCAACAGTTGAGAAAGAACATGATTGTTTTTGTGATACTTACAAAACGTACGTACATGCGTGTATCTCTCTCTCGGTGCTCTCGGTGCTTACCTTAATTTCTATTGAGGTAAAAATAGCGCCACGCGTGCACGCTTGCGTGTCTGTCACGCATATGCGTGCGGAAGCCGAGCGGAGCATGTATTTCCTGCCCTCGGAAAGCGTACTTTTCTTGAGCAGCGAAAGGGTTCGACCCTTTCGACACATTTCTCGCAGCCGTGTCTCGTAATCCTTTGAATGATTACCGTACCGTAACTCGCCGACAGAGTCAGTGATTGCTCGATTTAACCGCGACGCAAGGAACACATGCTGCAGCATTTTCATCGGATCTAATCAAATTAATGATATTCATAAAGCCGGAAATTAATTCCGCAATTGCCGCGATCTTCTGCTAGCAAGAGTCAAACTTTATACCGTCGATTTATAAGCTCGTGTTCTTCGAAAAAACTCTTAAACCCTTCAAACAGAAAAGAAAATTTTTTTTTAAGTGACATATATTTTTTTTGTTGGCAATATTTGCTATTTTATTAAGAAATATTTTCATTTCATATCATGGAGAAATTGTGAATCGAGAAAAAATTGTCACAAAACATTTTTCCTAAATTTGACCATTTTATTTTTGAGCAACTTTAGGTATAACATAACTAACTTCATGATATAGCTCTGACACGTGTCGACCAAATGGTTATTCGTTCCTTCAAACTATTGAATGCCTACCTCTATTTTTCTTTTTCGCATTATATTCATTGTGCATTGAATTTTGACAATATGCGTAACTTGAGATATACATATGTATATCTTTTGTAGTATTAATATATTATATAATTAATATATTATATAATTTAAATATATGTTTTAACACAATGCAACCATCTCGCGAAAAAATATTGATTAAATACAAGAAGATTTATTTGTAAATAAATATTAAAATAAGCATTATTTAAAATTATTTTTTATTTTTGCGTATGTAAAATTGCTGAACTTTATTATTTATCATTAGCTGCAGAGAATGCGCCGGAGAGTTTGAAAAAGTAACATTATTAACATAGTTGTAAATGAAAGTGCCGGCGACTGTTTTGTCGTCTTCGTGCAGAAGCAAGAATGCATAATTGATCCATACATTCATTCACGTTTCGACGTTTGCCTCTTCTTGCGATTCTTCAAAGAATTTGAATTTCCAATTAAGTTTCCGCATCTCAACATTCGACAAACATTCGTGCTTAGCGTGTTTCGCATATAAATCGAATTTCTTTAGGTGACAAATATATAAATATATAAATAATAGAAGAATATATATGATAATCTATCAGACAGTAGTAATATATTTAATATTCTTATATTTCTCTATAACAAATTAAAATCATGCGATTCAGTGCAACGTTGGTGAGATATGTCTCGCTACTTCTTCCATTGGTTCGATGGCGCTAATAAAATTCAATCTCAATGAACAACAATTGGTTCTCGATTATAGAAATACCAGAGAATGAATAAGTCGCACTACTTAATCTCGCTTCCACGGTCGGTAAAGTAGCAATATACATATAGAGGTTCAAGGTTATTTAACCGCGAGTGAAAGCCGCGAGTCTCCAGAGTCTTGCGGAGCTCAATGTTTCATGGTGCTCCTTGCAATACGTACGCGTGTACTCCGAAGCAAAACGTTACCAGCTGTCTCGTTGCGGAGGATTGGGACTGATCTTCGTGCCCTCGTAAGTGCTCCTTCACAGTTTCCATGCGGCTTCTCGAAAGAAGAAACGATTTTGTAGAACGATAGCCGTTAAAAGTTAGCATCTCAAGACTCTCAGAGATAACGGTGCTTATGTAAGAGCAAATGCATGCTCGTTATGTTGTCGGCATCATTTATTGACAAGTATCGATAAACGTGTTTTATTCCGAGTCGATTTGATATTTAAAATGTGCTTGAACAAATATGCATGCATTAATTTCCTGGAATTCTTTTCCGTCTCACTTTCTCTTTTTCTCTCTTTTTCTCATGAAAATGGAGGTAAAAAGTTATTAATTAAATTTCTCATACTATATATTTTTTTACTGCTATATTAAATAAAAATTCCTGAAAGTCCCTCTCTACCTGCAATATTAATATCACAATGATCACTTTCACGTAATGTATTGCGGTTCATAATAAAACACTAAAGATTTATCTTTCAGAGATAAGTCACGTATTTGAAAACACTTTTGGAAATTTGAAAAACTTTTGACGCAATGGACAACTGCGATTGTATGTTCGTAGAGTTTATAATTACTTTTTTTTTGCATTTACTCGCTTTACGAAATGACCTTCGCTAAGTGCATGACGCAAGAGAAGGCGTAGAATTAAATCGCACTCTTAACTCAATATCAAGAGAAAAATGAGTTTTGCTTTATATCCTTCGAAGTTCTGGTTCGAAGAAACGGGTAGCAAGAAGCCTTATTTCAATGTACATTGAGCAAGAGATTCCACAATTTCTCGCGGTAATTTTATTGCTTCTCTAACGTTATAATTGTGTATAATAATTGTATATAATAACTGGGAAACTTGTTCGAAAATTATAAATATTGCTTTAAATTTAATTCGATATTTTCAGTTCAAAGAATGGGATATGAATTTGAAGAATAATGAATTAAATAAAGATTTTAAAGGGGATAAATATGTGATTTTAGTCTCTCTTTTCGAGAGACAAGGCGAATACGGGACGCAAGGGTGAATAGCAAGCCGCAACTGCGCAATGGTGCGAATTGCGCGTTTTGTAATTGCGCGAGGGTGCCGGCTCGGGATGACGAGTACGCAGTCGCGCGGGATTCCCCGGGAATCGGGTCTTTCCGGGTCTGCGACACGGTTTTCCCTTGACTCGGTTCACTTTGGCGTCCGAGGTAGTCGACGACGCGACGGCGATGTTCACGGACTAACTTGCTCGCTCTCGCAACAGGTGACGGAATCTCGACTGGTTGGGTTTAAAAAGCGACAAGAGATCTTCAACGAGAGAAGTCCAGATAGCGAGAAGTCCGGCTGCGACCTTTTTTCGCGTGCAAACGCTCTCGTGGAATCTCTAAGGGAGTAGGGTGGTAAGAGAGCGTCAGGGGATTTCGGAAGGAGTCGCGAAATGAGTGTCGAGGACGCCATCAATTACTCTCCCAGCGAGGAGGAGGACTATTACGCTCTGTTATCTTGCGACGAGTCTTCCACGGTGAGAGCTAGCACGTTGAAAGGAATTTTTATTATGCCTTATGAAATCTGTGTCTCTGTTATGGACTGATTGCTATAGTGCAGCACACTTTGAATTTTATTTTATTTTATTTTGTTGACCGATACATATTCAAAAATAAAAAAAAAATCTTGAAAAACTAAGAGTTATTTATTATAAAGGCGAAATTAAATTTCTAAAAAATTAAAGCTCTTTTTTTCTTTCTGTTGGGCCTGTTAGATTAAATGAATTATAAATTAAATCAACATATTTTCTAAAGCGGTTTGTTGTTCTGTGAGAAATGTTTGCTTTCGAACTATTCAGGCTACGTCGCGTGGGTTTTGGATAATTAAGTCAAGTTAATTATTTTCTGTTTTCATCCTTACGTTTAACAGGAAATTTCCTTTAAGTTGATTAGTGTCCATCAATATTAGTGCATTCAGGCTATTGCTATTTGCAATTATTATTTTAGGTGAATTATGTCTGCCTTTCGGAGAGTCGAAGATAATTTTCATTTCTTAATTCATTATGAAATGAACGCAGTTATTATTTCTGACTATCAAATTATTCGTAATGTAGGCGTCACCTAATGAAGTTTTCATGTTTGAAATATTTGTGTTAAGAAACGAGTCCATCATGGAAATTGTATTAATTAAGTTAAAAAGATATCATCTTTTAAAGTTTAATAAATGAAATAAAATATGAAGTAAAAGAGGATGTAAAGATTAGAAAAATACTCAATCAATTACTTATTTAATTACTTATTTAATTATTATTTATTCAATTATTTATTTAATCATTATCTTAATTAATTCAAATGATTACAAAATCAATTAATATTAATTTTAATTAAAATTAAATTTGATTCTTGAACTCTACATTGTGCAACAATTTCTCAAAATGCTTATTTATTGATAGAAATTTAATTTCGAATTATAACTGTTATATTTTATTTATCTATTATATTACGAATTCCATTATATTTTAATTCATGAAAGTTTCGTTATTAAATATAAAATTCATAGACACACAATAATCTGAAAATTTTGTTTATTATAACGTTTTGTTTATTATATAAAGCATTTGTACTGAGGCATTTAACGATACGTATACAAAATTAATTTTCTACATCTGTACTGAAATGATTAAATTAAATGTCGAGTTGCTTTTGTAATAATTAGATCCCAAAAGGAAATTGCAATTTAATCTCGTTATTAATTGAATTCTCGATCAACACAATTACGTGTAGTTGCATCTGCTCCTAGTTTACGGTATGTTGCAGTTATGCACAACAATATTCGTTGAAATCAAATCAATCTTGTGTCATATTGAGTGCGAAATTATCTTGATAGATTTAAACTTACTTTCGTTATTTTATATACCGTTTTAACCAACAAAAAAATTTTGGTAATGTAAAAGAAAATCATATTTGTTACGATATTAGGTAATGTAATTCGATATTAAAACAGATTGTAAATTTTAACATCTTACTTACAATTTATTTGATTGTGCATTTTTATAGCAATAGTAGTAGTAGATATTGAAAAATTTAGAGATATACGATGAAAAGGTTGCTTGCTTTTCAACTCTCCAGTTTACATTTTATTATCTTGGTCGTGAATTTTCGATAAGAATTTCGTTCTCAGTCGATATATCACGTAAGCGTGTTCATGACATTTTGTTTTCATCAACGAGACACTACGAACGTGACACTACTGCAGACAATTGAGAGATATCCAGACAATCTATGTGTTTACAAATCAATTCAATATCTCATGATATATTTTAACGAAAATGTTTAAATTAAAAATGTCGATATTTTCTTCGATAAAAAAGCTTTATATTTGTAATTAAAATTCAAAGTTTATTCTGTAAAATCTCGTTATAAGAATCAAATAATTATATACTCTTTAATAAATTTCATACGTTTGTATCATTTTCATTTAATGCATATTAAATGAAAAAAAAAAAAAAAGAAAAACAGAGAACAACAGGAAAAAATATATATATATATATATATATATATAATCTCGAAATAAAAATACATTAATTTTCATTCTTGCAATTGGATAAATGTAGATAGTTTTTATTCGATTTAAAAAATTAGGTCGAGCAGATTACAGCGGAATACAAGGTATTAGCTCTTCAGTATCATCCGGATAAAAACGATGGTGACAAGGAGGCCGAAAAGAAATTTCAACAATTAAAGGTATATCTCTTACACAGGAAAAAGTTAATTAATTTTAATCGGTTTGTATAATCGATTTCTTTAAACGCGTAAGAGAGAACATTGATATTTTTTCCATTTTATATTGTAGTATGCAAAAGAAGTTCTATGCGATCCTGAAAAGAGAAGCAATTATGATAAATGGCGGAATAGTGGTATCAAAATCAGTTACAAACAATGGGTCGGCATGAAGGAACATGTGCAGCAGGTGAGGCGCAATAATTAATGCATCTATTATTTATTTTGGACGGTAAATTGCATTCATTACAATAATTTATTTGTTTTTTATATATCTTGAAAAAAAATATTTTTTTTTTATCAATCAGTCTCTCGCTCAATGGAGCTTATGAAACGTGTCAATTCTTTTTTGCAAATTTATAATTTTAAATAGCTGTTCTTATTCAAGATTCTTATTCAAGAAATGTAGAAAAGTAATAAATTATAGATATTAAATATTTATGTTAAAAGGTATGTTAAAAAGAGAATTTTTGAATATATTTCAATAATTTTTATATCGAAAGTATAGTAATTTATCTCGACTATTTCGTATATCAAAAGAAGTGATTTTATATGAATCTCCAGTCTTTTTCAAAGCTTTCTTCTTCAAATTGTAGATTGTTTCATCAATTTCGACTAATTTCTCTCTCTGAAAATGGAGGAGCGATCTATAATAGCAATAAGGAACCAAAGGCCTTTAATTTCACATTCTATGCTATGTTTTGTGAAGTTAACCGAATCTTCTTCTGTTTGTAGACTATGCATTGGAGCACACCGAAGACAAAGGACAGAATGTTGCCGGACGCGACCGAAGAGGCAAGTGGTTCACCAGCTCACCTCAAAGGTCACCCTACAAATGCGCACAGGAGGGCTTCAGAGGGTGGTGCCATGAATCTCTACTATCGTTCGGGCCATGGCGTCCCGTTCTATCAGGAGTCTAACGAGGTTGTCAGTAAGTTTCGCAATTACGAGATTTAAAAGGTCTCCAATGTAATTCTCAGAACCGATTCCATTATACCGGATGCCCTTATAACAACAGGAACATGTTGCATTAGACAAATATCTACCTGTATATGAGTGTACGAGGCGTTGGTCGGATCGCGTTGGCGTGTGCATACATCTATATACCTTATAAAATAGCGAGTTGAGATAGACGCATCTCTTCTCTTCGTCGCTCCTCGTCATCGAGCAATTTATCATGTTTCTTTCTACCCCGTTTACATGCGATCTTGCAATCAAAAGACTTTTATTGTTGTTGCGTCACTCCTATTAAACTGCGAACGTGATGGTCTATCATCAATATAACGTCGACAAAATAAACGAAGATATTTTTTCGAGAAGACTTCGCGGAAGCAATAAATCTTTTTATTGTACATTTTTCTATTTTTTCAATTTGGGTCAGACGCTTCGCGAATTGTTTTTTCGTCATTCAAGGATGCATGCCAACTCGATGCAACAATCACCTTGGTACACGTGTATGTACGTGCTCGCGATTGTGCGTACGTATGTGTCGCCTTCAGATTTATATTTTGTTATACTATACTAAGCACGACGAGAGGAAAGAATCGAGGAATGCGGATGGAGGACGTTTGGTATTATTTAAATTCCCTTTCTGAAGTTTCCCGATTAAACGTCCGACTAAATATTATAAATCGAGCTTCTCTCGATCGCGCATTCTATATGTGTCTCTTGATCTTATGAGATGTTTAGCAATAAGAGTTAAACGATGTAGTGTCAAGGGCAGTATATAGTTTTATCTGTGATCCCGCGAATGAATTTTCCGCTAGTGGTTAACTGATCGTTTCAATCGTAAACACATTGGAAGGAAATACTTAGGCTTCTGTTAAAGAAAAAAACGCTGTTTGTGAATCCATCATTCACAATAACAGAATTTCATTGTTACGATTATCAATGTAATTTAAATATTAATTAATATATAATTGGTTTCCATCATCAAATAGTCGTTGCTTTCGATGTAACTTATGCGCGTCTTTATTGACTAAAAATATCGACTTTAAATGTCACATATCCAAAATGCGGTTACAAGAATGGGACGGTGGAATTGCAAAATGATTGAAATCCCGGACCACAAACATTGCAAACGTCGAATTTATTAGATATGATGTTTTAATGGAAAGACGTAACTAAATATATAGCTCTATCAAAATATGTAAGATAAAAATATATAATATATAAAAGTAGAATAGTTTATATTAAACTGTTATATCTAAACTGTTATCTAAAGTGAAATGTCTATATATTAGTATATATTTTGTAAGTGTTGCTATCGATTCTGTGAAACTATCCTAGGTATTGACGTTTCCAACGTTTCTCTCCGAATATTTATTCGATCGCTGGTATTAATTCAAGGATTTATCTAATTCCACGAAACATTAGATTAACGTTTCGTAGAATAAGCATAAGTATTTCTTTCCATAATGGAACAGATCGACGATGGCGCACTTGTACCTGTGTCCAATGTCAAACGCAAGATACATCATTCTCCTCTGATCAATTGCGACGGCTCTTCTCCATTCCGTTAAATGACCATACGCGCGTGCGAATTAGCAGCGTTTTATCTCTTTAAAACTGGTGAGATTTTGCCGATTCATTTTTCGACATTATAATGATACAAAAGAAAGTTATTTTGTGCTTTCACAGTGTCGAAATGTGAACTTGCCTGAAATTATTTCGAGTTGAACTTTTGAGAAAAACAATAATATTCTCTTGTGGATCTTCATGAAAATTACACGTAGTATTTTTACATTCCGACGCATTTGCGTTTTCTTTACGTTCGATGCAGCAGTCGAGACAATTCGTTGGTGAATTGCGTTTGACATATAATTGAGAATGCCTATTTATAATGGATAATGAATATAATAACTTAATACAGTTAATCCTGGATGTGTCGATGTGTATAATCTTAGAATAATGCGATGAACATTTTCTCAAGGGAGCTCATTTAAATTAATAACAGAGTTAATAATGCCTTTCAGTTTCGCTTTAAGTATTTCCTAGTCGAGCGCGTTGTATTTAGATACCCATGCATCCATTATAAATCCGAGCTACTATATTTAACAGTTTGACACTATTAAATTTTTGACACGCGTAAAAGATGAAATATAAAAGAAATAAGTAATCGATGAAAGTACAATTTAATGAGAATGTTCAGATATAATGTGTTCGATCTGGAAATGTTTGAATGAATGGAACTGCAAGACGTTAATGACGTTAATGTACATCTTGCCTGACTCGATCAATTTTCCATTTCCAAAAAAATAATGTGAGTTTTCGCATCCTTCGTCAAAGTCCAAAACATATCACAGGTCCATTTTGTCTTTCCAAAATCGAGGGCTAATCTTGCATTTACACAAGCTCAGCAGAAATGGCTAACAAACGACTAATAAATGTCAGTGTAGAAAAGCAAAATCAATATCAGCAACGAATCCAACGACATTTTTCTACTTTAATTTTAGGCTACCAAGTTAATTCTTGTTTTTAAGTATAAATTCTTCCAATGGAAAGGATATACATCGTTTCGATGATATAATTACTTTTTTCTGTAAGTTCTTCCTAGATAAGCACACAGTAATGTCTGAATTATGAAATCAAATTATCGAAAAAACATTCGTATCTTTCTAAGAATTTAAATTTTCCTAATTTGATCCTAAATGTTAGATCCATGAAAGGATTCGTTGTTGACTGTAACTAATTCTTAATGTTACAAATACGCAGAGCCGGAGTAAGGAAATAGATCAAGTCATTACTTGTTTACCTTGTCGAATATCGAATCTCTATTCTGATCAAACGTTTTCGAAAAGGATTATTTTTAGACTCGAGAAATAGAAAATGGAGTACAACAGTGAAATAAGGAATAAGGAATAAGAACTAAGAAGCTACGGAGAAGAATAACAGTAAGGGAAATATGTGAAATTGCTACTTACATATGGATATTTTTCGAAATATCGTAGACTCGAAAATCTTCCGCTTTCTTTTGCTATTGCTTCCATTCTCTTTTTATTTTTCTTAGATTCTTTGTTGAGAGACCTAAGAAAATATCTTGCTGCTCGACTTGTTTCCCTATCAGCTCTGTGCAAGCCTGACGTTAGTGCGCGGTCAATCGAATTAGTCGAACATATATAAGCGTCTGCTAGCGCTTCATATAGGATTTGCCACACGATCGATCCTTCTCTACACATCTCTTACGAGACGATAGATGCACAGTTAAATTTAATGACATATCTGCGACAAGTGAATCGCGTTTGATTACGCTACAAACCAACACTTTGTTGAATCTATCATATATCCGAATTTATCTATCTTAAATAATGAAATGTTATCAATTTCTCAAATTTTTACAAATTTGACTGTTTCGAAAACGAAACTTTATAAAAAAAGATTGTGTATTACAGTTTTGATCCATTTTTTAAATACTTGTATGCTGTTTATATAAAATATATAAATTGAAATATTCTAATCGGTAATTTGCCATAATGGCTGACGTTGTAACAAAAATATCTAAAATGGATTTTTAATATCTCTAATCTTTCATAATTTTTTGATGGTATTTGTCAGGAGATTCTTTCGTGAAGTTGAGATTGAAGCTTTATTCGGACAAAAGGATAAAAATTGGACAAAAGTTGGATGATCAAGTCACAAAAAGTTTTAATCTCGTCGCGAAAGCGACGACCAAGTTTAGATTAAGTAAAACGGCAACGGTATCAAGCGTTCATAAAATTCCTCCAGTTTAATTCAATTTCTTTAGCAAAGAACATAGCAATTAGATTGATAAGATGTAAAGATAAATGAGGAATTTGAAAAAATGTAGAAGTCAAACATTTTATTTCTGATAATATTTTTATGGTAGAAAAAAATATAGAAGAACATATATTATTATTTGTTAGAAAATATTAGCATAATTTTGCGCATACGTTGTGCATGGAAAATAATAAATAAAAATTTGATTTGGTTTTTATTATGGTTTATTCTCTTAAGTTAAGCGAACAAGATTAACTATGTTAGAATTAAATTAAAATAACATTGATCAAAATGAACAAAGAAATCGTTTTAATTTTAGTATTCTTTTAACAATATTATTTTGTGAGAAAAGTTGGACAAGATTGCAGAAGCTTTCATGTACTCTTAAAAAGTTTTTCATTTTCTAATAAAGATGAGAATGAGGTCGACCATGTCTATAGCCGATCTATAATGCTCGCTGCTGTTGAAAGTCTATTGGACCACTCTGTATCTATACCTATATTTTTCTAACCGGGCCCGTGGATTTTGGCTCGTGAAACGTTGTTTATATGACTATATCATACATACCTATTTGTCGTTTACGATTGACCTGTCGCAAGCGCCTGAGAGAAAGGTCGAAGTCTGTTCAAACGCCTATCAGTACGATGCTCACGATCGAAGAATCCGATATGTTCCTTTTACGTTACTACACGCGCGTTTACAATACCGTCATTGGATAAGATGGAACTTGCGCGTTCCCTTAAAAGCAAAATAAGAGGAAAAACTTATTTTTCTTCACAGGATTCTATGATCAATTCAAGACCTAAATCAGTTTCCAATTTCAGCACAGATAATTAATTACAGTTGTGTAAATTTTTATCTAGACATATAACAGAATTTTACATTAATTAAAAAAACCTGAACTCTTCCGCTCTATTATATAAAATAGACTTAATGAATAGTGAAAAAATAATGAAAGAAACATCTATATTCTAAATCCTTATATTATGTATGCTATATAATAGTTTATTATAATTTTTTAAAGAATTTAAACAAGATTTTCGAATTAGCATGATTTAAAATTGAAAATTTTCAGTTAAATTAAACAAAAGTTGTATTGAACGTCGCTCTTTAAGCTTTCGATATTTTTCTTATTTAACAAAGTTTTAAATAAAATTCAAAGTATATTGTACATTAAGTTATTGAAAAATTTATTTGCTTTCGCACTTGTAAATAGCAGATTGTTAGTGCCGTTTATTAGTAGCCGTTTTGAAATTATGATTATGAAACGTTAATTGTGTTATTTATTTGCATAAAGAAATCGATAACTGTCTTCTATTTTAATGTCTACGACTACAATGATCGTAGACGCCAAATGCTTTGAACAATTAATTATGAAAGTATAAGATATAAATTGTAGTTATATATTAATAATAATGACGAAAACTTTCTTTCTATGTGTCGATGAATTGATGAAAGCAAACTGATAAAACACAAAGATATTCAATTGCGATTATCATACATAAATGTTCAAGAATGTTACTTTCACTGATTAAAAATTAACAATGAAGATTAGCATTTGTAATATAATTTTATTTATATATCAGTTGACTAATTATCTAATAATTATGTAATTAGTACTGTAATTTTATATATATATATATATATATATATGTGTATGTATATATAGCACAGGTATAAAAGTTAAAGTTAAGTACAAATTGTTAAATGATAAAAAAAATCCGAGTTTGTTAAAAATGATTGTTTAAAGAAATATGATTATTACTGTTAAAATATATACGAAATAGCTCAGTTAATCAGATATCTTGAGCAACTTACTAATTGGTAAACAGGATTTTCGATCGTTCTCACCAGTTGTCAAGTTTTTTGCGTGCATGGTAGTATGGATGAAATTATAGATTGTGTGTAAATGTCTATATGCAGTTAACCAAATACATATGTTGTATATTCGTCTCGCGCTGGTCGATGCGGCGATGTATTACTCGTACCAATAAAAAATTCAATAAATATGTTTAATTATGAAATATTCTTTGTAAT